GGAGACTACGTACTCCATTGCAAAGGCATCACAGGGCTCTCTTAGAGGACCACATCCTGTGAAACCAAACACTTCTTCAGCCAAGAGTAACTCTCTGAAGATTGGGGCGGTTAAGAAAAACCAAAGGAATCATTAACCGGCTTCCATCTGTTGTATAAATGACAAAGTGACCCTCATCAGCAACTGGTCCAACTTCTTCACTATTTGTTTTGAGTGAGATTTGTGCCCTTTGTCTCATGGGTTGCTTCTGCCATTTGGGAGCAATCTCCGTGATTTTCTTCGAGTTGATCATATTTCAGTAAGGAGTTTGGAGTAACTAAACTTTAAAGGTAAGGATGAGAAGAGAGAAAACTACAGGTGATGGTGAAGTGAATTGGAGGCTAAAGGAGAAAAGAGGACTACAGGTGATGGTGGAATAATTGGAGGCAATGGAATTATATATGGCATTTTGGGGCATGCACTGTTGCCGCAAAATGGGTAGAGAAGGAGAAGGGGGAGTTATGGGAGAGACAATAGAAGAAATGTCACTGTACTTGTTGGATTGCAAGAAGTGCATTGGCACATGAAATATATTTCCCTATTTCATTGGCAAATTGGGGCCACAGGTTTAAGATGTGCTTGATATTCAACCAAACTCTATGTAAAAATAGTGGAAGAGATTGGGGGATTGTTGGGGCCATTACTGAAAACTATGTGTACATGCTAAAGTAGTTGGGCAACATCCCATGAGGATTTGTTTTACATCTCACTTGCTTTATTCGAAACTGTATGTGAAAAGCTCAAGCAAGCCTTTAATCCTTGTGGGCCACATGAGTGTGGCTTGTAAAAGCAATTGGAGAGGTGATGACCCAACTAACTCTAAACATGACTCAAGACCCTACTTCATGTGCTACTGTCCTTCTTGTAACCAGACAACAATGGCTCTCTCCCTCTCTCTCTCTCCACCCTTCAATATAAGTTAAGCTCATCACCTCCCATTCACACCACCACAAGCTCATTCTTGCACACCAAACTCTTCTATTGTCTTCTTGTTTTCTCTTCTTTCCAGTTACTAACACAAGTTCCACTGCTTACCCACAAAAAGAATACTAAGTTTCTCTAAACTTTGTATTTAGCCATGATCAATTCAAATAGGCTCTTGGAGATAGCGCGCAAATGGCGAAGAAAGCCATGAGTCAAAGGAGGAGAATATCCCTCAAAATAAATACTAGTGATCAAATAGACTCAGTGGCCGTTGAGGGCCATTGTGTGATTTATACAATAGATGGAAGCCGGTTCGCGATTCCATTAACGTTTCTTAACCGCCCCATCTTCCAAGAGTTACTCTTGATGGCTGAAGAAGAGTATGGATTTAGATCCAAAATCTAGATCCGGATAGTAATTCGGATAATCCAGGCATTGGTGGATTCGATTCGGATCTGACCCGGTTTCCTAAATTATATATATGTGTGTGTGTTTTAATTTATATATTTATTAAATTGTATATCTAATATATATAATTATTTTAACATTTGTAATTATACTTTAAGTTTACAATATACAAAATTTATTTTGAACTAATTCGGATCCTATATATAGTTTTGGATCCAAATCTAGATCTGGATCTGATGTATACTTTTTTAATCTGAATCTGGACCTGATCAGAAAAATTCTCAACCCTAGTACCAAGTGTAAAAAAAATCCACAAAAAAACCTTTACTTTTAAAGGAATTGCCCACCTCCATAGCTTGTTTAAGGACTATCTGTTCCATCTCAAACGATCATAAAAAAGCAAGCCATGGGCTGATCTAATATTAAGGATTCCATCATTTTCTACTTCTCAGACCAAATCATCATCAAAAGTTTGTGATTCCTGACATCCTTGTAAAATTTGAAACAGCGCAGCAACTTCAGCAATGACCATATCCAACACTCAACTATGGGCCATTTGAATTCTCCATATCACACCACCACCTAATATATCCATCATTTGTATGACAGATAGTCATTGGTCATTTGATAAATTAAAAACACTTGGAAATTGGAATTTTAAAGGGTCCTCTCCCAGCCACTTGTTATGCCAAAAAGATATTGAATTCCCTATCCCCATGACCCAACGGGATCCATTTTGCACTAAAATTTTCATCCTAATAATACCTTTCCACATATGTGACTGATATGCCGCCCTTCTTCCCCTTGCAATCCATTGAGTTGATTGATCCAAACCATACTTTTCTACCAACACCTTCCTCCATAAGTGGTCCTCAAATTTCATAGAGCGCCACCACCATTTAGCTAAAAGAGCCTGATTAACCAATTTTGACCTCCTAATTCCCAAACCTCCATCCTTTTTAGGCGTGCATACTCTCTCCCAATTAACAAGATGATATTTTCGACCATCCCCATATGAACACCATAAAAATTTCTTCATCAATTGTTCCAAATGTTTGCAAATAGAATATGCCATTTCCAATAATGACATCTGATAAATCGAAAAATTAGATAAAGATGATTGAATCAACATGACCCTACCTCCCAACGATAGGTGTTTAGTTTTCCATAAATCAAGTTTAACATGTGCTCTTTGAATTATCAGATCCCACACTGATTTAGGTAATTTAGAATCTAATATTGGTACCCCCAAATACTTAATTGAAAATCTTTCCACCCTGCATTCAAATTTTAAAGCCAATGCTTCCATAGTATCATGAGAACATCCTACAACCACCACAGATGTTTTCCTGAGGGCCAAAACCATCTCGCGACATTGTAGCATCCTTTTTAAATGTTGAACTTCCTCCAAATGAGCCCCACAAAAAAGTAAGGTATCATTCGCATATTTCAAATACAAGATACTAAATCATTGTTATGAGCAACCTTGAGGCCATTAAAACGGCTTCTTGAATGAACATTAGAAATCTTAAGGCTGAAAGACTACCACCATAGTGAATAAAAAAGGTGATAATGGATCCCCCGGTCTCAATCCTCGTGAAGATTTAAAAAATCCTTTAGGGCTTATGTTAACCAAAATCGAAAAATGGGAACTAGATAGACATTGTTTGATCCACGATCTCCACTTCTTCCCAAATCCCATACATCTCATAATCTGCAAAACACCCCATTCTTCCCTATTGTAAGGTTTCTCCATATCAAGTTTCAGAACAACCCCTGGTTCCTTGTTAATTTTCCTCGAGTGTATGCATTCTTGGGCAATCAAAATCCCATATGTAATCACCTTATCCTTAATGAAAGCCGTTTGTGGCCCTGAGATCACAAATTGAAGTACCTTTTTCAGCCTTTCTGCTAAGATTTTTGCAATTATCTTAAAAGCTCTGGTCAAAAAGTTGATTGGACGTACATCTGATATCTCTGCAGTTGACGTATTCTTAGGTATTAATGCAATGGAAGTTGCATTAATTCCTCTGTAAAGCCCTCCCCTTGTAAAAAAATTCCTTCACCATCAATAACAAATCCATATTAACAGTATCCCAAAATTGCTGGAAGAAAACTAAAGGAAATCCATCAGGCCCAAGGGCTTTATCACTCGGTGAAGAAAAGACCACCGCCCTTCAATTCACTTTCCATGACCATCCTTTCCAGATCAAGTGCCATGTCCGCAGATAAACATTTAAAAGGCACACCCGCATACATGGCTTCCAGAGAATTTCATTTGTAAACAAATCTTGAAAGTGCTTCACAAATCCCATCTCCCAACCATCTGTATCACTTTCTTTGATGTTCTAAAAAACAATACCTAAGACATTATTTTGCCTTCTTCTAGAGTTCACAATTGCATGAAAAAATTTTGTTTTAGCATCCCCCTCCTTCAACCACTTCACCCTAGATCACTACTTCCAATAATTTTCTTCCAACATGAGAATCTTATTCAACTCACACGATAACCTCTTCCTCATCAGTCACATTACCACGATTTTGAGTTGTCACTTCAACGAGTTCAAGCCGAGACATAATTTCATCCATCTTATATATCACCGAAAAATTGTTAACCCTTTTCCACTGTAATAATCGATGCATGACAGTTAATAACTTCTTATGCGCCTGAAAACCAAACCAACCATAAACAATGGTATTGTTCTAAGTACTTTTGATCAATTCCACCACCTTCTTCTCTTCCAACCAAACTCTCTCCATCTGAAATGGTTTTACATCGATTTATTTTATTTTTGTTGTTATGATAGTTCTTCTTTTGTCACCTATTAATGCTGATAACAAAGTACATTTAGGTTGAGAACACAACCTTACTCCCACGGATATAGCCCATCGGGTCAAATCCATCCCGTTCTATAATATAGTTCTGAAATTGATCAAATTCACTCAATTAACACACCATATTATTTTTCTATTATTTGCTTAAAATAATTAGGAGGTAAAATACGAATTTACTTGTTATTTAGTAATTAAGAAAAAGAACTTAGGGTGTCGTTTTACCATAAATTTGGTGGTCTAGAGGATTTTCTACCGGGGAAATTTACGTCTTACCCACAAATTCTTGGCCACCTTTCAAAAAAGAGTGTGGTTTGTATAAAGGGCCAACTTTAAATAATTAAAGGAAGGCGCATCTCTAAATCCCATTAAAAGATGGGATTGTATACAATGAGACCATTTACATTTGAGGTAGGGAGGTCATAATTATTTACAACCATCCGATGTGAAATCTGATTGCTTGGGTGTTTTACAAATTTCGAGAAAATTTCTTTAAAACTTTGCGTTTGGTCAATGAAATAAATGTAACTACCCAATTTCACATCCAATAATGAAAATAAATTGTGACCACCTTTGTACTAAAGATAAATGGTCTCAGTATATACTTTCCCCTAAAAGATGCAGTTTTGTTGCCAAAAACTCATACGGGCCAGAACTTTAGAGGAGCCATTTTGCAATTTGATTTAGCAGAAAAAGTAAGAAAAATTGTTGATGAAGAAGCTAAAGCAATGATAAATTTGATGTATAAATTTGTTACATTTGAACAAACTGTATTTAGTTTTTACAAGGGACAAACAACTGCTTCGTTCCACCTCCAAATAAAGTCTTGAATGCAAGACTCACGACTGGTAAACTCAAAATCCAGGATGAATCATGTTTGCAGAGGTCGTTTCATGAAGGGCTAGGGAAGCAAGAGAGGTTCTGCAAGAGGCCATGGCAGCCAATGCCTTATCCAACTCTCTTGATGCATTCTTTCTCAAAAGGGAGACTATGTACTCCATTGCAAATGCTTCACAGGGCACTCTTAGAGGACCACATCCTGTGAAACCAAACTCTTCTTCAGCCATCAAGAGTAACTCTCTAAAGATAGGGCGATTAAGGAAAGTCAAAGGAATCACGAAACGGCTTCCATCTGTTGTATAAATGACAAAGTAACCCTCATCAGCAACTGGTCTAACTTCCTCACTAGTTGTTTTGAGGGAGACTTGAACCCTTTGTCTCATGGCTTGCTTCTGCCATTTGCGAGCAATCTCCATAATCCTCTTCGAGTTGATCATGTTTCAGTAAGGAGTTTGGACTAACTAAACCTCGAAGGTAAGGAGGAAAGGAGAGAAGACTACAGGTGATGGTGAAGTGAATTGGAGGCTAAATTTTGAATATGAGGAGGAGAAGAGAATGCTACAAGTGATGGTGAAGTGAATTAGAGGCAATGGATTTATATATATGCCATTTTGGGGCATGCACTGTGGCCACCAAATGGCTAGAGAAAGAGAAGGGAGGTTTATGAGAGAGACAATAAAACAAATGTGACTGTACTTGTTGGATTGCAAGGAGTGCATTGTCACCTGAAATATGTTCTTCTATTGCTTAGGCAAAATGGGGCCACAGGTTTTAGATGTGCTTTATATTCAACCAAACCCTATGTAAAAATAGTGGATCAGACTCAAGAGATTGTTGGGGACCATTACTGAAAACTGTATGTATATGCTAAGGTAGTTGGGCAACATTCCATGAGGATTTGTTTTACATCTCATTATCTCAAAACCAATCTACATGCTTTATTTGAAACTATATGTGAAAAGCCCAAGCAAGCCTTAATCCTTGTGGGCCAATTGTGTTTGGCTTGTAAAAGCAAGTGGAGAGGTGATGACCCAACTAACTCTAAACATGACTCGAGACCTGACTTCATGTGCTGCTGCCCTCCATGTAACCAGACAACAATGCCTCTCTCTCTCTCTATGTAGTATAAAAGTTACTGAAATTTACGGGCGACTAACACCTAAAAAAAATACAATCGAGTTTTAAAGAGAGAAATAAAAACCAAAAGCAAAAATAAAAAAGAATGAACCAAGTTTCAAAAAGAGAAATAAAAACCGAAAACAAAAATCAAGAATAATAAACTAATAAATGTATTCGAGTTGTCGGATACGAGCCCATATACACACAAGAGGAAAAAAAATACCTACAAATGCCTCTCTCATAAAATACCTACAAAGGGCCTCTCCCTCTACAGGGCCTCTCTCTCTCTACATGATCTGTAAAAGATTAATTTTTTTATTTACATAAATTTAATCTCCCTTGTACAATACACGCACCCCTTTTTATTTACTTCTAAAAGATAAATCGCAACTCCCAACTAAATAACCAAAAAAAAAGGAACCTAGACTCTTCATATACGTTTCACCCCAAAAAGATAAAACTCCATGTACTAAAAAAAACCTTCCATTCTTTCGTATACGTTTCACCCCAAAAAGATAAACTTGCAAAAAGGAAACAAAGTCTATCCACGTGAAACAAAGGCCACCTACTATTCTTTCTAAAACAAAAAATATAATTATTATTTTATTGAAAAACTATCTTTATACTTTTTATTTTTAGGTTTCATTTCAAAATAGGCTAAGTTTTTAAAGGATATCTTCAGGCATAAAACTTGTAGATTATTTTTTTTATCCCCTGAGCTAATTTAAACATATTTTTTTAGGCCAAACAAATCTAAAAAAAACGTCTTTTTTAAAAGCCATCCTCAAACTTTTAGAGTTTCATGAATGTGAAAGGTTAGTGGGAAGAGAGACAGAGGTGTTTGGAGCAACAAGGAGGAGAGAGATGTAGAAAGAGAGAAGTTTTAGATATATAAATGAAGAGCGAGAAAGGATTAGATTTAGAAATAGCATGTCTTTCTCAAGTTAAAAAATAGGTTTTAAGTGGCCAGAGTGTTAAAAGATATCTTTTTAAACATTGAGTTTTATCAAGAAATAAAACCTAAAAATAAAGATATGAAGATACCTATCTTATATCCAAGTTAATATCGATAAGCCTTCCAACAAATAAAAATAACTTCTTAAAAAGATAACTTTTATCAAGCCTCCTGATCAAAACGTACCCAACAAAAATACGGTTTAGGAAATTGGATCTTATTATCTAAAAAAATAAACCCACTCAATCTAAGAAGATGGATTTTATTTATTAAATTAAAAACCTAGATTAAATCTATTTCTAACAATTAATCTTAAATAAGTAAAAAATACCCATATCTCTAAAAATAAAAATATAAAAAAAATAAAATTAGACTTGATGTATAACGAGGTAATTAAAAAAGACTGGCCATTTTGCAAGACATGCTAATAAACCCTTGGAGATCAACTTGGACTTGGTGTATATGGAGGTAATGGCATGGCTTCAGAATCATTACTTCTTAAAAAATAACACATAATCATCATCATCATTATAGCTGTTTTTTAATTAATTGGAGTCGGCAGCTTCTTTTGTCACCTATTAATAATAATAACAAAGTACATTGAGGTTAAGAACACGACCTCACTCCCAGGGATATAGCCCATCGGACCAAATCCATCACATTCAATAATATACTTCTAAAATTGATCAAATTCACTCAATTAACACGCCATATTACTTTATTATTTGCTTAAAATAATTAGGAGGTAAAATACGAATTTAACCGTTATTCAATAATTAATAAAAAATATTTTATAGTGTCATTTTAGCATAAATTCAGTGGTCTAGCGGATTTTCTGCCTGGGAAATTTATATTTTACCCTCAAATTCTTGGCCACCTTTCAGAAAAAGGTGTGGTTTGTATAAAGGGCCAATTTTAAATAAGTAAAATAAGGCGCATCTCTAAATCTCATTAAAAATAGGATTGTAGATAATGAGACCATTTATCTTTGATAAAAAGAGGTCATAATTACTTACAACCATCCAATGTGAGATCTGATAGCTTAGGCATTTCACAAATTTCGAGAAAATTTCTTTTGAACTTTGAGGTTGGTCGATAAAATAAATGCAGCCACCCAATTTCACTTCCAATGGTCATGATTAATTGTAATCACCTTGTACCAAAGATAAATAGTCTCTTAAAAAATGTAGTTTCGTTGCCAAAAAAACTCTTACAATGGATATCTTTCATGAAACTGCCAGTTATTTTTGGTTATCTGGATTTGAACTGTTGTCCTAATGAAAGAGGCCAAACCTTTAGAGGAGCCATTTTGGGAATTTGAATGAACCGAAAAAGCAAGGCAAAAGCAATGATAAAATTTGGTGTATAAATTTTTTACATTTGAACAAAATTGTATATATTGTTTTTACAAAAGACAAACAATGGCTTCATTCTGCCTCCAAATAAAGACTTCAATGCAAGGCTCACGAACTCAAAATCCATGTTGAATCATGTTTGCAGGGGTGGTTTGATGAGGCGCTAAGGAAGCAAGGGAAGTTCTGCATGAGGCCATGGAAGCCAATGCTTTATCTAACTCTTTTGATGCATTCTTTCTCAAAAGGGAGACAATGTACTCCATTACAAATGCCTCACAGGGCACTCTTAGAAGACCACAACCTGTGAAACCAAACTCTTCTTCAGCCATTAAGAGTAACTCTCTAAAGATGGGGCAGTTTCGATCTGTTATATAAATGACAAAGTGACCCTCATCAGCAACTGGTCCAACTTCTTCACTAGTTGTTTTGAGGAAGATTCGTGTCCTTTGTCTCATGCTTGCTTCTGCCATTTGCGAGCAATCTCCATAATACTCTTCGAGTTGATCATGTTTCAGTAAGGAGTTTTGACTCACTAAACTTCGAAGGTAAGGATGAGAGGAGAGAAGACTACAGATGGTGAACTGAATTGGATGCTAAACCTTGAATATGAGCAGGAGAAGAGGAAGACCACCGGTGATGGTGGAGTGAATCGGAGGCAATGGATTTATATATGTCATTTTGGGGCAAGCACTGTGGCCACGGAAGAGAAGGGGGAGTTATTAGAGAGACAATAAAACAAATGTGACTGAGCTTGTTGGAAATTGGATTGCAAGGAGTGCATTGGCACATGAAATATGTTGCTCTATTTCTTAGGCAAACTGGAGCCACAGGTCTTAGATGTGCTTCATATTCAACCTAACCTTATATAAAAATAGTGGATAAGACGGAGATTGTTGGGGACCCTTACTGAAAACTGAATATGTCGTAAAGTAGTTGGGCAACATCTCATGAGGATTTGTTTTACATCTCATTATCTCAAAACCAAATCACATGCTTTATTTGAAACTACATGTGAAAAGCTCAACCAAGCCTTTAATCCTTGTGGTCCAATTGAGTATGGCTTGTGCTACTGCCCTCTTTGTAACCAGACTGCAATCTCTCTCTCTCTCTCTCTCTC